AAGGTCACATATGATAAGCAACAAAGCTGGGATCAGATGTCAAGTTCCTAAGAGCTTTGTCACCTTTTGATCTCAGAGCCTACATGTAATCCCGCCCACATTTCAGTATTTCCTTTGTTGATATATTTGTTGCAGGAGACATCCCCATTAAGTAGGAGGGTTGAAATGCACAAGAGAAGGCCCTGGGATGATTAGGTCTTGGCTCTGGAAGGATTAGGGCAGATAAATAGTGGCACAGTGGCCCTTGGTTGTAAAACCACAATAAAGCAAGTGATTGAGGTCCAGGCTCTGGATTGTGTGATTTTCCTATGAAAGGCATTCACAGGTGAATCCTTTGCTATCTGAGGAAATTGGTTAGCCCTGGTCTGGGCCATCTCCAGAGTCCACCAGGTATCAGATTTAAAAAAGATATTTTCAATAATGGCCCACTCATCTACAATATTTAAATGACAATAGAATACCCTTCTCTGACAAAACTAAACAAAAAAAGAGGGATACAAATGAATGACCATTTTATATCTGTATGTTTAAAATAGTTAAGATAGATACACAGCTGCATTCCCTTGGATCATTGAATAGAGGGCTTTGTTCTAATAGTGTTTGTGGACAGGATATCATGTCTTCATCTTGTACAATGAATAACCACTAAGACAACAATATGCAATGTATTAATTAGTGAAACTGTGCTAGCAGTTGGTTTTCAAACTGTCTCATTGCTATTTGTTTCTCAACAAAATTATTTTTAAAAATAAAAATAATACTGGCCCACTATACACATTGGAGAGGACCTTAAAGTTTCAGGCAGTGAAATTTACCAAGTGGTACTAAACTACTAAAGTAGTAGAAAATGGACAGCCCTCCCCCATCCCAGCCAGTATACTTGAGTTTGTTAGCTTCCCAGGTTTATAGTTCCTGGTCCAGTTCTGATTGCTTCTGTCTCTTAGAAACGGCTGGTCACTGTGAGGCACAGCTGATCACTATGAAGCATGTTGTATAAACCAATCCCCAATTGACAAGCCATTCTGCTTCCGTACTTCCTGCTTGTTTATCTCATGTAAGCCCTAGGCCACCTGAGATCAAGACTTGATATTCTGGGAAGGATTCCAATCAGTGCCTACTGATGTAAGTAAATCTGCCTCCAAGTCCTGGGTGTCATTTTGGTATTTCTGCTTGCCATTGCAATAAGATACCAAATATTGAAACATTTGGACAGCTGGCATCTTTGCATCTGGGCACATCAGTTAAACTGAGTGGTGGCCAGAAAGGCTCAGTAAATATGCATTGAACTGCTATGTTGAAGGGCTGGACTTGGAGGCATCGCCTCATACTTAAGCCAGCTTTGCAGAGGACAATGACAATGCTCTTGCATATGGCCATTCATTTCTCCCCTTTCCCTCTGGGCCCATCCTAACCCTAACCATATCTGCTTGCAGTGGGGAAGTCTTTGAGTTGGAGAGTTGGTGGGTTGACCTCACTGTACATAGGAAGACTCAGCCAGCCCTCACCAACCAGTGGAGAGAGCAAGACTTGAGATCTCCCTCAACACACACACACACACACACACACACACACACACACCCCTTCTGACAACTATTGGGTCTAGGACACATGGTGGGAACCTACTCCCTGCACCAGGCAGCCCTACTCCCTGCACCAGGTGTTGGCTCATTTAAGGAACAGTATTGATTTTTCACTTTCTGATGAACAGTTCATGAGGCACCAAAGGGAGGGGCAGAGGAGAAGCCAGCCACTGATTCCCGGAATTTATTTCCAGACACATTAATTTGTTTCTTCCCTTCAAAATCAAATCAAGTCATCTCCATATATCACCATCGGCAGCTGGCTGGCTGAAAGGCAGTTGGCAGGGCAGAGGAACACTTTGAATAAAACTCTTTGGGAGCTGGGTCAAAGGAGTGAATGGAAGTGGATTCTAGCCATCCCTAGTCCCAGCATCATGGAAGTGAGGATGTGGGAGCAATGTTCCCTAGCAGTTGGTTGAAGATCTCTGGGGAAGGGATATGAATCTATTTCCATGCCAAGCCTCATGCCTTAGGGCTGGAAACTGTCTGGACTGAGCTAGTTTTTAGTATCTAAGATTATTCCTTTAGCCTAATTTCCCAGTGACCCACACTTAGCATTCTTTCATTCCTTTATCCATCCATTCGATAAATATTGCCTGATGTGCTAAGCATTACACTTAGTATAAATGACAGTATTGGATAAGACAGGAAGATTCCTATCCTTCTAGAGTTTACATTCTAGAAAGTATCTCTGTAAGGAATACACATTGTGAGAAGTTTGCCTTTAATATGTGAGCATGTTTGTAACCAAGTGAAGGCGATTCTGAGAAGTACGTTGAACTGAGGAAGGTACTGTGATGTAATCAAATAAAGTTATTGTGAGACTTTTCACAATATTGCAGTACTGAAGCAAGTAAGAGTAAGAATGAGAAGACATAATTTGAGGGGTGATCTGAGGATATGATAGGCCAAGGAGGTAACCAGGCAAGCAGCTGGGGACAGAATGTTCACAGCCAAAGTAATGGCGAGTGCAAAGATCCTGGGAAGAAACTGAGCAGTGTGTTTGAGAGACAGAAAGGTGGCCTGGGACTGAGAACAAGGGAAGGAGCTATGGAGGATGAAGTTGGAGAGGTGGTGGGGGCCTGAAGGCAAGAGAAAGGAATTTGGATTTTATTTGTTCAGTCCCTTCTGTGGTGTGTGAGCAAGTATGAAATGCCTCTTGTGCTGCAGGTATTGTGTAGAGTGAGGGATTCAGTGGAGAAGCACTGAGATGTGGCCTCTGCTTTCCTGAGACCTACAGTCAATCAGAACAGCAACAAAGCCATTGAGGAAGCCCATCTTCTCTTAAGATACTAAAATTAAAATGGCTTATCCTGTCCACTGAGTCCCTCTTCAAGAGATCCATGATGTCTCAAGAGCTTCCTTGTCACACCAAGTCCCTGCCCCGGAAGAATTCTCTTCTGCATTTACTTTGTTGTGTGTCTTCAAACTTCACAAGGCCACTTGCACAAACTCCCCAAAGGTTGGAGTTATGAGCTTCATATTATAATGGAAATAATTTAATATGTAGTATTGTACATCATAATTTTGGCCCCCATGATTACCTCTTGCTACAGTCTAGCTGTTCATCATGGTGACAGCTTCCAGTGACTTAGTGACCCTGCTCATTTCTGGCACAGATCTCTGTGGTCTTCCATACTCTTGACCTGAGAACCACCTGAAGATAGACTTGCTGCTCACTTAGAATCTTACCATGCAGGGGCCCAGAACTGGTGAATTTGGAAATAACAAACTTCTTTTTCTTTTCTTCTTATCAGGCTGTCATGGGAAAAATTTGTGTCTGACACTGAGCCTAGAATCTTGCACATGGTAGGCATCCCGCGAACATTTGTTAAACAAATCAAATATCAAATTGAGGAAGGCTTTCCCACCAGATTCGAAAAATTTTTCTTTCATTCTTTTTTTTTAATAATTTTTTTTTTCAGAACCGGGGATTGAACTCAGGCCTTTGTGCTTGCCAGGGAAGCACTTATTCCACTGAGCCACCTCCCTGGCCCTCTTTCATTCTTTGAAAGCTGAGCATGTGGGGTCAGTTTTGACTGTCATCTTCATTTCATCATCATTGTTATTATCATTTTTACTATTAATTCTGCTACATAAATACCCAGCCTGTTAACATAGGATGTGCTATGTTGGGACAGGAGTAAGCAACAGGGAGTGGGGGTTCTGCCTGGTTGGGGGATCCAGCTGAAGCCCTAAAGAATTTGCTGAGGAAGAAGATAGGTGTAACTCTTGGGAGAGACAGAGACAGTGTAATCAAAGTTCTGTTTCAGGAAAGGGCTTGTCTGGTTGGAAGAAAGAGGGAAGTTGTCAAAGCAGGACAGTAGGGTCCTAAGGAGTTGGGACTGTAGTGGAGAAAGGTCATCTGGGGACAGATCCAGTGTCTGGTGTGTCTTACAAAATGTTTGGACTCCATTCTCCAAACAAAGACCATCAAAGCATTTTATAAGGAACATAACTTTCTCCTTGGCTCATGCATTTTCTTCTGCTTGAGGCACCTTCTACAACTACCTGTTTTTTCTCAAGCTTTAAACCAACTTCAGGATCCCCAAACCTGACAATGAATGACTCGTCCTTCATAAGGCCAGGTTGCAATATCACCTCTCCTCTCTTTGTCCCCCACTTTGCAGGAACTCACTTAAGACCTACTTGCATTTTGCTTTGTTGGGAGACGTGCAGAAGAGAGTAATGGCTAAGGGTGAGACCCTGTCTGGGCCTGTGGCTCCCCAGGTGTGGGATTTGGGGCAGTGTACTCAGACTTTTGATGCCTCACTTTCCTTATCTGTAAAATGGTGAGAAGAGTTGGATCTTCCTCCTAGAATTACATGAATCCACATAGAATACTCAGCACTGCATGGAAGGGCCAGGCAGTTTTTTTTTTATTTTATTTTATTTTATTTTTTTTTATTTTCTGCATCTGTTCCCAGACTGTGAGCAGGGGTGTGGCTCACTGTGTGGTATATTTCTGGTACTTGGCACATTCTGAGCAAAGTACATGCTCTGCTTCTTTGGGGGAATTTAGGAACTCCCAGCCCAGCAGCTCTTTATTAATACTTCCAAAAGCAAATGCACAGGTGTGAGTTTTGCTGTCACCATGGTGACCTACCCAAGCTACTTCTCTGTTAGCTTCAGTTTCTTCCCATTCACATTCATGTCTACTTTTTAGGTGTCATGGAGGTCAAATGGGATTGGCTTCAAAGACAGGATATGTGATCCAGAGCAGGCCAGTTGAACTCTGATTTCTTAAGTTTTGCTTAGGTTAGGAATACTCTTGTGATCCAAGCTGGTGAACAATACCTCTTTTATCTCATTTAAGCCAGTAGTCATTAGGCATAATTCCACAAAGCCAGAGCACTCATAGCTAATACGTGTATCTCAGTGACATTACATCTAGTTTCTAATCAAAAGAGTATCCAAGACTAAGAACATCAGCTCCTTTATTATTGTTACTAATTATTATTTACTATGTTCCCCCAAAACAACAGCACAACTCAAACAACAATGACACAAATGTCCCACACCCATATACACAATACCACTAGCTTGTCTGCCAGGCTGCCTGGCCTTGGCTTGGTTCTTGGCAGGGTTACTGAGAAACATCCCCTTCTGTAAAAGTCCTGACTTGGACAAAGCAGACACAAGCTGGTGGGGACCTCAGCCAGGGAATTAACTGAGGGGTTTGGGGAGTGCCAGTTTGAGAACCCTGGGGACACACTGTAAACATTTGGGCAGAGGGCAGAAGGCAGTGTTTATTTTTATATGGTTGGTGGATAAATCCCATAAGGAACTACAAGAACCTGTCTATTACCTTTTGTAAGCCAGGGATGTAAAAATACACTGGGTTGGGCAAAGGGCTCCAGTGATGGAACTGTAAGGTAGTCATGGGAACAGGGAGCCCGAGGCAGGGATTGGGTAATGGGGAGGTCCCCAGAGAAAAATAACCCTTGCATTACCTGCAAGGGAAGATACCACATGAAATGTTAAGTCCCCATCTCTTTGTTTTGCAATTCTAGAATGTGCAATGTTTTCATCAAGATAGAAAAGATAAAGAAAGAAAAGCCAGTACTCTGACCTAACGCAACAAGCATGGCTTTGCTGATTGCGTCATCCCGTGGAGAAATCTACTACTATGTTATCCAGGGAATCTGTGGTCATTTTTCCCTTCCCCCCTATTCCTCAGCATTTTAGTTGCACTACATCTGAGTTCAGCTAAAGTCATGTACCCTGGAATCAGAGAAGCCCTGGGGTTGGGGAGGAAAGGAGGGTGGGCCAAGGCAGGGGTCTCAGGTACAGGTCACTTCCTGGGTGTCCTGGGGAAGCTCGTTGTTGAAGGCGCTCTCTCCAAATGATGAGTAAGGGGGCACCTGGGGAGCTTCGATGATCAGCAGCCCCTCTGGGGAAAGTGAGGCAAACACCGTTGCAGGATCCACCTCTGCAGGAAGCCTAGAAAAAGCATAGGAAGTTATCCATCATTTTAAATATGGTTTAAATACTTCTATTCATTTGAGGGAAAATATTTTGAATAAGAGATTAAGCTTTGGAGCATATGGTGCTCAGTGTTTGTACCCTGGTTCTACCTATGTGTAGCTGCGTGACCTTGGAAAATTACTCAATTGCTCCTACCTTGTTTTCTGCAACAAGGAGATAAAAATAATGAATCTGTACAGTATGTGAAGATTCATAAAGAGTCAGCATCTGAACATGTTTTGCAAATGGCAAAATGCCAGTTGGAAGTAATTCTTAAAGTAAAAATATACTATTGGCCCATACATTTGCTTCTGTGTTGAGGTCCCCACCCTAGCAGAGTGGATAGGCTGCTGGCCAAAATTACAAGCACACTATTTCTGTAGAGAGCACCAGGAAGGTATTGGAGTAGGAAAAACATTTTCATTTTTTATATGCCCAGTGGAGAGCCTTTTACTACAAAATACATTAATGATGGAATAGGCAGGTTGGCAGATAAATGGTCAAGATAGACATGTTGACAAACTTCAGATGGCAACCTAGTCCGTAATGCTGAGAACAAGATTTGGTTTGGATCACATTTTAATTATCTCTTAATAATCAAGCATATCATTGCTTTGTTCCCAAAACTCAGTTATACATATGTGTGATTGGAGCCTTTTGAGAGTCTAGTATGATTGCAAGGTAAGAATTAGCATGTCTTTCCCACAGATTACTAAATGGAGACTTGGGATAGATCAGAAGACAAACTTAATGAATGAGAAAGCTTTAAAAATGGAATCTGTGAACCAAGATCTGACGAGAGTTCTGAGTTTTCATTTTAATGATTTTTTTGAAATGTTTGAGGCAGCTGAAGCTATCTAGGATATGATTTCTTCAGCAAACTTAAAACTGTGAGGATGTGTTCATGATCTCAATGGGATGCCATTGTTAATTAAAAATAATAAGTGGGGCCGGGGAGATGGCTCAGTAGAATAAGCGCTTGCCTGGCAAGCACAAGGGCCTGAGTTCATTTCCTGGTTCCGCCAAAAAAAAAAAAAAAAAAAATATTGAGAGTCATGACCTTCTCAATAACTGATGAGGTAGGTACTTTAACAGGAGCATCTCATCTCCCTTAGTTAACAACAATCCCACTAAGATAGTTCTATTACCATCCCCAATTTGCAGAGGAGGAAGCTGAGTCCCAGGGAGGTAAAATGATTTGCCCAATGTCATATATCTGGTATGTGACAGGGAGGAATTATGTGAATTGTAATTGGAATCCTGGGCTGCAAACCTGGAGTAACCAATCATGATGGCCTACTGGCTGCCCTGAATCAGATTTTTGAAGAAGAGGATAATTTAGCAGGAGGGCAGGAAGACTGAGTCATCCTAGACTTTTCCACAGGTGAGGCCTGATCCACTTGTTATGAATGCAGGGGTCTCAGTGAATGAACCAAAGCGAAGCAGAGTCTATTCCTGATCCTTGCAGGGACCTTCCTAGAGGGGCTAGGAAGCTGTTTGTTGAGAACAGCTACCTGAACTCTCTTGAGCTACATCAAAAATGTCTTCCAATCTGGAATCCCAAAGATCAACAAGTGTATTGCTGGGAAGGATTGGGAGGGGAGGGGAGAGAGAGAGAGGGAGGGAGAGTGAAAGGGAGAAGGAGAGGGAGGGAGGGAGAGAGAGAGACTGGACAATTGCTGCACCTCCCTTGTCCTGTTGGGCATGGGCTAACTCTGTTTGCCCATTTGCTTACCATCCCCTTAGGCACCACGCACAAGGTGGCACCGCCTGAGCTTTGCAAGCAGATTTGCACTGAAATTTGGACCTGACTGTCAGAACTTGGCCTGGTGATTTGGCCCTTCTGCACCTATTTGACTGCAGGAAAAAGGATGTCATAACAGTGTCTGAGAGTGGAGTGAGAACTGCTTTGCAGTCACTGGCTTCGCTAGCTCAGCGGCATCTTGGCAGCTGCGCGTATTTTAACACAAGCTGCAGTATAACTGGACCACAGAATATCAGAGCCTAAAAAGAGCTGCCTATTGGTTGAGGACAGTGCTGTCACCTCACATGTGGAGAAACTGAGGCACAGAGCTGGGAGTCGACTCCTCCCGGGTCCCAGATGTGTTCTGTGTGTTGAACCCATGCGGTAGGAGAGTCATTCTTCTTCAGTTCCCTTTTAACCCTTCCCTTTGCACCTAAGCGCAGGCCTCAGCGAAGGTTAATAAGCCTGGCATACCTTCAGGCTCCAACTGACTCTCCCCTTCTGACAAAGCACTGGCTGATCTACTGCCTTGTCCCTCAGGCAGGCAACATTATCTAGGCAGAATTTAAACACACTTTGCTTTCATTGGATTTATTTCGTGAATGCCTCCTTCAGTGAACATTTTAATGATGAGAATTTAACTTTATCAAAAGTGAGTTGGTCTAAGCATATAAAGCGAAAACTAGCAAAGATAGCACGCATGTGAAGGATTGCGTTGCAGAGGATGTACTCCCCTCGGCCAAATAGGAAAGGTGCGAGGCTTTCAGGTAGAGTCCTGGGTTCTAAGTCATTGTCTGTTCTTTTTTGGGAAACAATTCTCTTGAGATATAGGTGGTGTATAAAATTATATACTCACATACAAGATGTACAATGCAATGTTTTGATGCAGGTCTGTATTTTGTAATCCAGCCAATTATCACATCTGTCACCTGGTAATACTTAGTTCATGTGTGTGTGTTGAGAAGATTAAATTTAAAATGTAGCCTCAGTGAATTTCAAATATAATACAGGATGGCTAACTAGGGTCATTATACTGTATATAAGACCCCCGGAACTTACTATTATACCTCACTGAGAAGTTTGTAACTCTTGGACTGACATCCCCCATTTCGTCTTATCTCTCAGCCCCTGACAATGCCCTTCTAGTCATTTCCTCTGTGAGTCTAAGTATTTTATATCCCCCATAAAAGTGACAGCATGCCTTATTTCTCTTCTGCATCTTTTTCACTTCACTTAGTGTAATGTTTCCCAGCTCCATCATAGTGGTGGCAGGGTTTTCTTCTTTTGTGAGGCTATATAATATTCTAGATCTGCTCTTTAGTAGATGAATGATTTCAGTTGAGTCCCTCCTCTGGGCTTCAGTTTCTTCATCCAGAACATAAAATTATTTCAATGATTAAATAAAATTAAACCTGACTCTTGCCATGGCTCTCGGCACATCATAGATGTCAGTGAATGGCAGAATAGATACCTGGGAAGGTGCAGAGTGAGGAGAATAAAGTCTGCCTTGGCTCCAAGCATCCTCCACTAGTGACTTCCTCTATCCCCTGATTCCTGTTTGCTCTGCTCCAACTTCTCTATAGAAAAGGGCTCAGCTGCAGTTCTTCCCCTAACCTGAAAGGCAAATTCCACAACCTCTTCTCTCCCCTTCTTCTAATCAAAATGGAACCTCTGGGAGGAATTTCTTGGTCTAAAGCAAACAGTTACAACTTCCTGCCTGGGCAGAAATCTCTAAGGATCCCAGCCTGGCTGAAAAAGCATCCTCTAAAGACGGAAATATATTTTTCTGGAAGAGGCAGGGAGGCCCCTTGAGATTGCCTCAAGGTTGTCCTAGTCTCCAGCCCAACTCCTGGATGTCTCCAGTGTGGATAGACTCAGGAGCTCCCAGGAGTCTCAGCCACTTTCCTGTGACTCCAGCCTGTGGAATCTTTTAATACTATTAGTTCCCACGGGCCAAGTGTGAAGTCTGCACCCTAGACTAAATACTTTGTTTGCATCCTCCCACTCCTTTTGTGACTCCACCAACAAGAGAACATAGGAATGGAGTTCAGTGCAGTTGTCAGTTGCATAGAGTGGCTCACCTACTTCATCATGAAGCCAGGACCTCCTGCACTCAGGGCTGAGATTCAAAATATATACCAACTGGGACCACTGGGCACTGACCAATCAGAGGGAGGGATACCTGTCATGGTGATGGAGGAGAACTTGGGTACCCTTTAGTTGCTGCAAGCTGGGATGACTCTGCAGACAGTGTTGGGGAGGCGTGGGTTACATAGAGTGGGTACACTGAGGGGAGTGCTCAGGGAAGTGGCTAGAAGGCATTTTAACAACCAGCCCACTGCCAGCTGAGCAGAGGCCACATCGAGCCACATGAAGCATTTCTACCTGGTCAAGGAATTCCCAGTGAGCTGTTTCCTCCTCCCAGGTTCACAGAGCTGGAGAAATCCATAACATGGCCATCTAAAAAAAAGATTAATTTCCGGACTTCTTTCCTGCTTGGTTCTTTACACAGCTCTGCCCTGCTTGTCATTCCATCCTGCGTCCTTGTTGGAGTCACTGGAAAGCCATGACAACATCCTCCCTTTCCGTTTTCCCTTCCTCTGCTAGCAGCATTGTTTGATCTGGTGGCTGAGCCAGGAAAAGGTGAGGGTTATGGGATAGCATGCCAGTCAGTGACCCAGAAGCAAAGAGGCGTTGGCATTTTTCTTATCAGGAGGTGTCTATGAGCTTCCAAGAACAATGAGGGTCAGGAATGGGCGGGTCTGGAGAGAGACAGGAGTGCAGAATTCTAAAGCTGGAAGAAGCCTCAGAAATCAGCTGGTGCAATCTCTCCAGCCTAGGAGATGCCTCAGGGCTGGTGGGGAGTTTAGATTTAGTAACAGGAAGAACAGTAACACCAGGCAGCCGCTATGAGGACCCACCAAGTGAGCACTAGGGGTCTCAGCTGGTATCTCAGCAAGGCTGGATCAGCATTCCTTTCTAGAGCTGAGGGAGCAACACTCCTTGTTCAAGGCCTGAGCATGGAACACAGAGGTCAGGACTCTGTGGGGCTCTGCTAAATTTTTATCATAAAGGCCTGAGCATATCCTTGACCTATGAGAGACTGAGCTTCCTCCTAATATAGGGAGGGTAGCCACTCTTTTCCCTGACGCATATCTTTGCTGCAGAAACCAAATACAGTGATGGCTAAGAAAGGACCTTAGGGCCAGAATTATGCATAACAGAATGATGCTGATTACAGAGAAGGCCCCTAGGAACTGCAAGAGTTCAACCCCCAACCCTGCTAGGAGTCTCTTCTCCCCACAGGAATCACCAGTTACAGGATCAGTGTGGTTGCTATTTGTTGGCCAGCCTGTTTGCCATCTGGTTGTTCTCCCTTGAGCTGAGGCTCCTAAGACTGTGTTCCCTCAGCAAAACTGGCCTTTCCTCTGCCTCACTGTCTCAGCCTCCCAAGCCCTGTGGGTAGTAGGTAGACACAGTGGGATAATGTACAGCTTCATTTGTGTGATTCTCCAATTCGAGTGTGTGTGCTGCTAGAGCAAGCACGCTTCATGTGATTCTCTAGGCAGGATGTCATTCTCTTAGCCGTAGAAACACAGAGCAGCTACCTTCCCAAGAGCCTGTCAAGGCACTTGGCATAGGGGGCAAGGGTCTTTTTCTGATGGTGATAGTGATCTTTCCTTGGCCATGTCACATGGGTGACTGAATGCCCCACTTCTTGATGTCACTGTGGACAAGTCCCTTTGCCTCCCTTTATTTTCTGATGCTTCATCTGTAACACTGGGCTAATCCTACCTCACAGGGCACTGGCCAGATGAGATGCACTATATATTGTGCTGCTGCTTTTGGAACCCGACTGCAGGTTTGCTGTGACATCTTCTCCCCTTTAAAAGGAGTCAGAGTTCAGTTCATTCTTGTGGGAGGTATCTCCCAAGAGAGAAAGACCCCACCCAGATTTGGGTCTCAGGTAGCCCCATCCTCAGAGCCACACTTCAAGGTCACTTACTGGATTTTCTTTGTGAAGTTCTTGGAAACAATACCTCCTTCCTGCTGCTTCTCTTCATGTTTCCCTGGAAGAAAGAGGAGCATGATGTGTGGTTCAGAACTGGGGCTCGGATTCAAATCCTCCCTCTACCCCTGTGTGAATTCAGTATGGTCTGGAGACTTCAGGGTCTGAGCCACAAGGACCCTGTGGACCTGCCACATGGACATACTTTATTAAGCCCACCTCCCAGGCTGGCTATGCAGGTGAAATAAGACAATGGGCAGGAAATGAGGCTTTGACCAGGGTTTGCTGACAATGACACATTAGTTTTAGGAAACCACAGACAGTGGGCCATATGTGGATTCCTACCTTGCTCAGTCCCTACCTAACTCTTGCTCTTTAACCAGCCAGCAGAACCCTGGAGATAGCAAGCCTGATGGGGTATGAGAAAGAATCGGCGGAAAGCCACAGGTCAAGGGCTCCTTTTGCACATACAAAGTCCTCTCCTAACTCTAGGACAAACTTTTTCCCTGTTACTACTGTGGCCCATGATGGGTCCAAGGTCATCTAGCCCCTGTGTGGCTGCTCTGGATTTGGAATCAGCTCTCTCTGAATCAGGTCCAAGTCTTGGGACCTTATGTCCCTCTGTCCTCGGATTTCTGCCTGTGCCAGCTACTGATTAGCTTTCTCAGCCACGTTATCTGTACCTAGTAGTGAACCGACAGTCCAGAAATGCTTCAATCTGCTGGACACGTCCACCCTCTCCCAAGAGATGTTCCCTTAGAAGGAGAGGCCACAAAATCGCAGATGTGAAATGCTACCAGCCCCACCTCCTACTGAGACACAGCAAAGAGCCACAAACCTCCCTCCTGGAGGCAAAAGATGAAATTGCAAGAGGCTTTCAACCCAAACTAGCTTTTCTTGTGCAATATAGCAAACTCAGATCCTCCTGCCTCCTCCCCCAATGGTAAGGGTGTCTCCAATTTCTCTTTAAACAAACAGGATTAGCATGTGACAGTGGAGTCACTGGGCTCCCTTCCCTTTTAGAACCTCATTCCAAAGCCCAAGAGCCTCATTTACACAGTGGGGCCCTTCTGAGGGGCTCAAGAGATCAGACTATAAATCTCCTCAGATAAACTCATGCAATCCAGATTTTTAAAAGCTGAGAAGTTATAGGTGATTGCATTATTAATTACTTTATGAAGAGTAATATTCTTTTAATAACTTTTTTTAACACCAGATGATGTAGGTTAGAAAATATAGAAAGGAAGGGGGAAAAAACACAGACTCTCTGAGAAAGTGATTAAAAAAAAAAACAGTAAAGAAAGCTGATTTCTTCTATGTGCACAGAAGTTTCTTTCTATGATTCTTTAGAATGCATAAATGTTATATCACATAGATGTACATCACACACTTATTAAATGGGATCATTCCATGTGTTATGTTGGGACCCCACTTTTCTTTCTTGTTAAGACATTGTAATTATTTTTCCACATTACCAATATTCTTTGACAGGGTGACTTTAAAGACTGTATGTGTCCCACTGCAGAAACGTGTGACAGTTCATTTAGTCAGTTCCTCACTTTGAGGCACTGGAAAGGTTTCCAACATCAGTAAGGACTTCATAGAAACTGAATAGTCCTGGGCCTAGATCTTCATACTAGGTCTAATGACTTCTGGAGGATTAATTCAAAATTTTAGAGTGTCTAAAGCTTGGTCTTTATTGCTAAATTGCCCTTGGGGAAAAGCTGTACTGATTTATTCTCCCAGTAGCTGGGAAGATGGGATACATCTATGGGAATCCTCTATAAACTACAGCGTCCGGTGACCGGAGCTTGCTTTTCTGTTAGTGGGCTGTGACCCCGAGAGCTCATCCTCCCTGCCAGCTCCGTGACGACCAATTTCCCAGCTTTATCATAGTCCTGTGGCCAGAAAGTACAGTCTGTTCCCTGGCCCCTCCCCACAGCCAGGGCCCCTACAGGCCCGCTCCCCCTGGGCACAGGCCAGTGCCTCTGACTCAGCCCTTTTGCATCCGGGAATCCTTCTGCATGTCTGGTGCCCTGAGAACCCTCACTGATGTTAATGATGGTGATGATAAGAGTAATAATAGAAAACGTATACAGACATCCCCTGACTTAACAGTGATTCAATTTACTATTTTTCAATTGTGCAATGATGCCATTTTTCACTTTTAGTGCTGTGCTCAATCAATGACATGGCATATTCAGCACTTCGTTACAAAATAAGTTTCGTGCTCCATGACTTGGCCCAATTGTAGGCCAATGTGACGTTCTAAGCAGGTGTAAAGTAGGCCAGATACAATTTGAGATTCATCTACTCACGTGTATTAAATGCATTTTGACTTAAAATATTTTCAGCTTACAATGGTTTTCTGGGGACAGAGCGAGACCCTAAGTCAAGAAGCACTGGTATAGAGTTTACTTGGTGTCGGCCACTATTCTGAGCGCCTTACCTGTAGCGAGTCCTTTCCTTTTCACAACCTTAAGAAACAGGCATTTTTGTTAATATCATTTCATGAATGGGAAAACTGCAGTTCAAAGAGCTTAAATGATGGACGCCCAAAATCGTGTCACTTGGCAGTGCCAGAGTATAGGTTCAGAACAGGACAGTTTCCAGACCCCTGAGGTTGGGTGTGAATCTCTGTTCTGACTTTCCCTAGTGCATTACTCCTGTTCTTCAAGCCTCAGTGTATCTTTCTATAGAATTACAGAGATGGTTCTATCCTTGGACCCGTGTGGTATGCCAGCCCACACCCAGGGCACACTGAGCCAGCGATGGAGTCTGGGCGTGGTGGCCCAGGCCTGTACTCCCAGTGCTGGGGAGGCTGAAAACAGGAGACTTACTACAAGTCCGAGCTGTGGAGTGAGACCTTGTATCAAATACATAAATAAAAGGAAAAAAAAAGGCTCTAAAATTAGGGAGATACCTTACTGGTTTACCACAAGGAACAAACGACACTGAGTCACAGAATTGCTTTGCAAGTTATAAAAAGGCTGTGTGAAAGTCGCCTCTTGTGGTTTACCTCGATGCTTAGGGCAAGGCCTAAACCTGAGAAGCCAGACGTCACTGTCCGTGCACTGAAAGTTGGAGTTTGGGGTTTAGGGAAGGAAGACTCCTAAGCAGGAGAGGAATCTGGGGAGGGTGAGCATCTAATTGAAAGAGAAGCAGATTATCCTGAAGGTCATTTGCACATATATGATTATTTAGATTGAGAGTCATACTTTTAGATTGAGAGTCGTTCTTAATTTCTTATTTTGTTTTCCAGTGTTCATTCGGTGCCATAAAAATGTTTCCTTTTGGTAGGCAGAGAAACGTAATTGTGATTTGTAAAGAAAGTGTCACCCGAAGTCTGGGGAAAGAAGAGGTTCCTTGCAGCTGCCATTTGCTAGAGCAGCCTGGATAAAAGTAGGTGCCAGGAGCAGGCAGCAGCAGACTGGCTGATGTGATTGGCCGTGCTAAAGAAGGAAGGTTCTGTTTCCAGGGAGGATAGAGGCCCTGGGCTGGGAATAAGGCCTCGGGGTTTTCCAGTCCTTTCCTTAGCCAGAGTCTGTCCCAGTGGCTTTCAAAGAGGACATCTCTTAGCTGGTGGCTTCAGAACAGGGTGAAGATATGTGAGTCATGGTGGAAATCACCTAGTCCAGCATTTTTTACTTATTATTGTTATTTTTAATCTTTTATTTGTTGATTTATTTGGCACAGGATTTCGCTGCATAGCTCAGACTCATAGTGATCCTCCTGTCTCAGCCTCCCCAGTGCTGGGATTACTGTACTGGTTTCAGTGGCCGGCACAGCATGCCCAGGGTTCCAGGGCCCGCAAAGCATGCAGTTCCAGGGAAGGAACCCAAGTCCTTGTGCTTGCCAGACAGGGGCTTAGACCCCTAAGCTATCTCTCCAGCCCATAGTCCAGTATTTTCTGAACACTTCCCTGGAGCAAGACATTCATGAGTAGTCAGATAACTCTGTCTTTCAGAGATTAATAAGCAAATTATCTCTGATAATCCCTGCAGGGAGGAAGGAAGTCTGTTCATGTTTCTGTTTCATCTGGCAATTTCTAGAACTCTTGACTTCCCTTCCTCCATTACTCAGATGTCTAACAGCACCTTGCAGAAATACAGTTCATCCAGTTCTGGCATAGACCACCTCTCTGTAAGTGTAACCAACAAGCTCAGGCCCTAGAGGTGATGGAATTTGGCCAGGGCCATGCAGGCAGAAGTGCAACTAAGCCATCATAACTGAGAACTGTCCAGATGGGCCTGGCTTTGAATCTCAGTTACTGCCATGGAGAAATGGATAATCACAGGTGAGTTACTTTCTCTGGGCCTCTTTCTCTTTATCTGTGAAGTGGGCAGTGTCCATCTACACTCCTAGAAAGGCCCTGTGAAGACCCAGTAAGCCAACATAGGTAGGCAGCTAGCATAGGGCCCAGCACAAAATACCTGGGGTAGAAAAAAATTGTCATTGGGTAGCATAGCATGGGACACCAAATCCATTTTCCAACATCCCTTGGAATTTGCTTTTATATTGAGCCTGCAATATCCCAAGAGGTCTTTAAAACCTCTTTTAGGAAGGCTCTTGTATGTGCTCTCAGGGGATGTGGACTCTGTCTAGGTGAAGTCACTAGTTGCATCTGTAAAAGTCTTCATCTTTGTCTTATCATGACTCCATTTTACAGGTGGAGACGTTGAGGCACTGAGATGTGTCTACTACCCCCAGATTAAGTCAGTAAGGTCTTTAGCTGGGACCTCAGCCTGGAGCTGCCCTACCCCTCCTATGCAGAAGCACCTTCCTAGGAAGATGGAGACAAAGCCCTCCAGGCTGGACAGAGGGTCTCCCAGAAGGGCCAGTGGCTGGAGGAGACTTGGAAGTCCATGGGATGAAACAACTGTAAGCAAACAAGGGCAGGAAGCATGATGATAATAATTATCCTGAGTGTTAGACAGGCACTACTATTAGCTCCACTTTGGAAACATCCTGTGTGTATCATCTTACATGGTTTGCTTTTAGTAAATCTGCCCTACAGCCTTGGAGGATATATATTATTATGATCCCGATTCTGTAGTGGAGGAAACTGAGGCTCAGAGTGGTGAAGGGCCTTCCTGTCCTAGTTTATCCAACTGGTGGACAGCAGTACTGGGATTTGAACCTAAGTTCCAAAGAACATTTGCCATCTATTATATATCAGAAACCTTCCTATGGGTCCCCTACTATTGTTACCATAATAGACCTTTTACACGATAATGACAATCCTGTTTCCTTGTAGTCCAGCATCAGGTTCATACACACTTTACAGGCATCACCTATTCAATACTGTGATTTTTACAGTGGAACCATCTGATTTCCAGGTAAGGAAACAGCTGCATGTGGTGGAGTGGTCTATGCACCCCGCCCCCCCCATGGCTCGCGCCTGAGCCAGTGCCTGTGGGACTCCTTCCTGGCTCCCCAGCCAACTCTGGGGGGCCTGGCTGACTCCTGTCTCCCCCAACCACATGTGGACCCTGTATGTCTCCAGGGCCCACCACACCCGAAGTCGCATGAAGCCTCTGATGTTTATAATTCTACTACTAGCAGCTTTTGAAACTCCCCCAAACGCTGCCTGCCTGCCAGGGCTTGTCCCGGCCCAGCTTGTGTTTGCAATGGCTTTTATTGATTTTCTGGCAGACAGGTCTCAGCCAGGAACACAGGCTTTTTAATGGAGCATTAATTGGGAGCGAAGCAAAAGAAAGCTTTTATGCCGCCCAGTGTAACAGGGCCTGAGCTTCCTGTCTCTCTCTCTCTCTCTCTCTCTCTCTCTCTCTCTTGCCTTTCCCCAGGGTATGGAAGCCTAGGCCCTGGCGCTGAGGATGACGGGCCTCGCTCTAGTCTCTTCCTACTGCTGACTCATGGGCTGACCTCGGATAAATCCCTGCCTAGAATCAGCCTCTGCAGCTGCAAAATGGATGAGAAACCCCTGCTACTCAGGGTTGGAAAGAGGATATTTGAGGGAAGGAGTGTAAGATCTTTAACTCAGAATCCATCATTAGCTTTGTTTTGGCCTCCCAACCCCCAGGCAGTGGGTCTAACTCTTTGGTAGGTTTGTCTCTCTCTCTTTTTTTTTTTTTTTTTTGGCAGGACTGGGGATTGAACTCAGGCCCTTGCACTTGCCAGACGAGTGTTTATTCTACTGAGCCATCTCCCCAGCTCCTGGGTAGCTTTGAACAAGCTACTTTAACCTCTCTCTGTCTCAGTTCCTCTTGTGTAAAAAGAAGAGACAAGCAGGGGCCACCTCCTCTGATTGTATTAATTGCGATACTCCTGGTAGAAAGATTGACACGGTGCCTAGGGTACCTAGCAGACCATAAGGTTGTCCACTGCATCACTATCATTGCTATTAAGCCTCGGTTTCCTTATCTGGCATAAGAGGAGGTGTCTTGCTTGAAACTCACTCTGGTTATTAATGCTAGCATTGCTCTGCATTGTACCTGTCCTGCTAGGCCCTGTGCTGTGATAGGAGAACATAATAAAGTCCATTTCTTTCTTCGTCTTTTTCCTTCTGCATCTGTCTAACCTACTCTTGAAATGTTCAATCATCTCTGCCAAAATACCCAACCTAACCGGAACACCCAACCTGTCTTCCTGCCTGTCCTGGGATTGATAGAGCCCCCTGAGGCCCCCTGCAGCCTGAGGCCCCAGCAGCCATGTCAGGTTGGGACTCCTCCCAGGCCTCCTGGGAGAGGACAGCTTTTCCATAAAGATAACTTTGTGGGCTGCATTCCTGAGCCCTGAAGTCACCGGTGTCACACTGTCACTGCTTCCCCTTCTTCTGGGTCCCAGGGCTCAGGCCTGCACCCACCCACCCCCTGGTGCTCTGGCTCGCTCACCGGACACCTCCACATATCCGTCCTTGGTCTTCACCATCAGCTCCTCCGGCTTGAAGCTGTGCACATTGACGCAAACTTTCCAGGGCTCTCCAGGGAAGGGTGGGGGGTTCCTGCCCTCAGCAGGTACCCCAAACCTGGCTGTGGCAGTGGGACCCCTGGGCACCATGCCGGACCTCAGGGTTCCCGGCCAGGCTGAGGGGAGTCGAGGCAAAGCCCAGTCAGGCCAAGAGGCGGTCAAGTCGTCAGGGAAGGGGTCCATGCCAAAGCCATCATCCAGCAGGCGGGAAGAGAGGGGCGAGTCCCTGAAGGGGTCTCTGCGCAGCCGGCTTGGGTAGTGGCAGGAGAAAGGCATCTGACCATCAGCCATGGTGAATGCTGAACTCACAGGGGAAACAGAGGCTAAGAGAGAGGGAGCCACCTAGCCAAGGTCACGCACGCGGCACAGCGGGGCGGATTGGGTGGCTTTCCGAGCTTAGTTTTCAGCTTCAGAAAAATATTGATCTTCTGTCACAGAGAAGCAGAACCATTCACTGCCAAGAACAGCTGTGCTCACCAGGCTGGGGTCCTGGCCCCCAAAGGTGACACCCGCAAGCTGGATCCAAGAGGGCCTCTCTCTGTTCCACCTCACCAGAGATCAGCAAGCCACCGTCTTCCCGGGCTGTCCAGGCTCCCAGCCAGAACTGCGGAGGTCGAGAGTGGAGCCAGAGCCTAATAAGCCTCAGAGACACTCCCCTAGAAACTTCTCCTGGCTTCTGGGCTGGGCGCCTTCTATTTATTTGCCGCTGGGGGGCTGGAGGCGGGTTTTGCTAGCGCCTCCTGTCACAGGAGTATTCCAAGGTAATGAACCAGCCCTAGAGAATCCAGGGAGCGAACAGCTGGGCTCCCAGAGGGACCTGGGAGGGGCCGGCTGAAGCCACAGCTCTAAGTTCAGCCAGCCTCTCTGGACACTCCTCCCCCAGCCACAGCGCAGCTCCGCCTTCCCTCTCCTCGGGAGCCTCCTCCCCAAGCAAGGCACTAAAGCTCTTGGCTATTAATAACCCTCGCCCGGCTGAGGGCTCAGGTCACCCTCTGGAAATACCTTCTCCAGAGCAAGTTGCTTCCTGCTGTTCCCCTACCCCCCACCCGCAGGAGAGGACGAGAAAGACGGGAGGCCAGGGAACCTGGAGATAGATGACCTGAGGTTCGAATCCCCACTCCCAAACTGGCCAAAGTCAGAGCCATGATTGGATCTTTCATACTTTCAATGTAGAGTTAGAGTGAAAAAAAAAAAAAAAAAGTATACTATCTAAATGACCCTTGTTTAAAGCACAGCCAGGGAAGGGAGGCTTTACTGGGCAGAGGAGCTACAGTGACAGTGGCAGTGACCCATCAAAGCACTGAGAGTTGGGGGAAAAGACTGGGATCAACTCCTAAGACAGTGTGGGCAAAGTAAGAATTTATAGCCAAAGAGCAGGACTAGGGGGAGTGAATGAAAACTAAGGGTTGGGCTGGGATGATGGCTGGACTCTGGCTTACCTGACCAAACAGGATTCCTGCTGAAGACAGACCAGGGTCATTGGAATTCACCCAGGGGGTGATCTGATATGGAGGGTGAGAGGTAGGGAGGGTGGAGGCTGTTGTTAGACCCATCTAACAGGGCTCTGGCTAAAATCGGATTTTACAAGAAAATGGGCACAGAGGTTCAGGAGGTGGCTGAAGTTTGGTCAAGCCAAGAATCTCCTTCAGCTGTAACAAGGGTATTCTCAGGCATCTCTGAGCTCTCTGTTTTCCCGCCTGTGACACGGATCTGAGAGCAGCCTCCTCGCAGGTGTGTCTGCGGGGTACGTGAAGTCACCCTCAGGTAGCACTTCACAGAGGATCTGGTGTTTCTGCATTTTCGACTTCAAGTTATCAGGTGCATGAAGATTGCATTAGGGCTGCGCTCATCAGAACACTTTATTCTGCCCCCATGACCCTGTAAGGAAAGGTTTTCCCTACTATTACCCATTTTTGCAATGGAAGAAACTGCCACTGGAAGTGTTAAGAAATGCCAGCTTCTAGGTTTAATACGACTGTTAATAATGGTGATTATCCCAAAGTACTTACTGTACCCAACCAGGGTCTTGGTTCTGAAACTCAAATCTCAGACAGACACATTTTCTAGATTTCCTTATCCTTCTATGCCACTGGCAGGATGAATTTACAACCAGGCCTGGTGACTCGCATCTGCAATTCTAGTACTCTGGAAGAGTGAGGCAGGAGGATCCTAAGTTTGAGTCTAGTCTGGGCAACTTAGTGACTTAGTGAGAACCCTGCCTCAAAATTTAAAAAAAAAAAAAAATTAGAAAATGGCTGGGGGATTATCTCCTTGAGAAGCACCTGGGTTAAATTCTCAGTACTTCAAAAAAAGAAAGAAAGAATAAAGAAAAAGAATTTACACAAAACTCTTTGGCTTAAAGGTTTGAGCTTGAGTTCTAACCTCGACTCTGTCCACAGCAGGTGGGCAACTCTGTGTGCGCTCTTTTCCCCCCTGTAGCCTCAGGGTCTCAGCTCAGTGAGCCTCAAGGGGTGGGGGTTGGATGGAGGTGTTGAGGAATTCATGAGTCATAAGTTGAGAAATTGCTCTGATATGAAGCAGGACTTTCGTGAGGGAGGTTGCTAAAAATAATAGTATAGAGAACAACAACCACCACTATCGCATATCATCTGTGCGTTGGCCACATCTGTGAGCCTTTGCAGACAGGGCAGTGAACCACTCAGCAATATTTTTATTATTGACAGCCCCATTGTGCAGGTGGAGCAGCAGGTGCAGATCCTTAGCCCTCACACATAGGTGTGGGGTGGCAGGTCCTGAGTGGGAAGGGAATGTGGAAGGGTCTGGAGCCCAGATCTAAGCTGACCTCGCTGGAGAGACCCCTGACCTCCCTCTGCACCAGCCGAGAGAGTCTCCTCCAGTGACAGGTCCTGAGTGACTGTGCTGCTGGGTGAGGGGGGTGAGCTCATCGGGCTAGAAGCTGCTGGCTGACGTCATGGCTGGGCACAGAATCCGAAGCTCTCTCTGTAATTACAGCAGGGCCAGGCAGCAGGATGAGCCTGACGCCAGTTAAAGGGAGAATCACTGCATGACTCTCAGGAGGGATCTGGCCCTGCCTGGAACAAGGCATGGGCTGGGAGAGGCCCCCATGTGGGTGGCATGGGCTGAGTGAGCGTGTGTGGAGATCTGAGTGGTGCCTGTGTTTGTGGGCAGATGGACTATGTTTATGTGTTGGGAGCCTGCCGGCAGGCGTGTTCTAAAAAGCCTCTCCTTCCCTACCCCAGTTGTGTCCTGCAACCCCACCCTAAAATTCTCAGGACTCTCTCTGCCTGGATCAGGGAACTAGCAGAGTAGAGAAGTCTTGATGACCTTCTCCACTTGCTCATTTCCAGGCCAAGGACTGGGGATGAAGTCTGTGCAGGAAAGAAATAGAAGTAGCAATCGTTAGCACCACAGGCCCCTTGACAGGGATGGCTTCTGTCAGAAGCACTTTAAATTCATTCTTCACCATCTATTCCTCCTCCAAATCCTATGAGGAAGAGACTTCTGTTATCTTTGTTTTTCAGTTGAAGAAACGGAGGCACTGAGAGTTGACAGGACTTACCTGTGTCTGCTCACATGTGTAAGCGGCAGAGCTGGGATTTGAGCTCACTCTGTAGCCCAGACTGGTCTCAAATTTGCAACAGTTCTCCTGCCTCAGCCTCCCCAGTGCTGGGATTACAGGCATGTGCCACCAGTCTCAACCAGTTTTGCTCTTGACTTCACTGTATTCCCTCTGAAATCAGTCACTGGTTACATTTTTGGAGCACTGACTGTGTACGGGCTCTGCCTCGAGCAGGTTGATTCACGACCTCATCACTTCTTTCCATGTGTGTTAGCTTACTTCTTGCGGTTCAAAGAGGTAAAGCCACCTGGCCCAGGCCACGCAGCCAGTGGGACATCACCACATAATAATCTCCAGAATGGGACGATACCACATGCTAATATCCCCAGACACTGCCCAGGCTGTGCCCTGTGATTTTCCTCACTGCTGTATCCTATTCCCTCTGGGGCTTTTGCTGCATTTCTGGGTCAAACCAGCTTTCCGATTTGAGAAACTGAGAAGGCAGGCAGCTGCTCATCCTGCTGAGCAAGCCACCTTGCGAGAAGTCAGCCAACACGTGTGGAAAGTGGTCAGCAAACTCTGATGGCTGTTGTCAACAGGGTGAAAATAAGAAGCCAGGGAGAGAATCAAACCTTCAGGTTGGTTCTCCCAGAAAGATGAGATCCAGGGACAAGTGCACGTGCGTGTGCATGCTCATGCACAGCTGATGGGGACAAGAGATGGTAGAACTAAGGAACCAGAAAAAGAACTCTCTTGGCTGCCATTTTCTTGAAGCTTTCACATGGGAAATACCACAACTAATCCTCAAACAGCCCAGGAAGTGGGCTACACCCTACAGTTTTGAAACAGAGGCCCAGAGGGCAGAAGCAGCGGCCTGACACCAGTAGTGTCAGGACGAAGGCATGGGTTTGTCAGCTGAAAACATCCGTGCTTTGTTCTTTCTACTACAGTAAAGAGAAGAAAAGAAAGAGAAGAGATGACAAGAGAAGAGAAGACAAGGGAAGAGAAGACAAGAGAAGAGAAGAGAAGAGAAGAGAAGAGAAGAGAAGAGAAGAGAAGGGAAGAAGAGAAGAGAAGAGAAGGGAAGAAGAGAAGAGAAGAGAAGAGAAGAGAAGAGAAGAGAAGAGAAGAGAAGAGAAGAGAAGAGAAGAGAAGAGAAAAGTTTCTTTCTTCCCCTAGGAGAATTCCAGTCCTCAGACCCTCTGCTTCCTCTCTTTCAGCAACATGCACTTACATTCCAGACTGAGTGAGTGGGTATAAGGACTGAGTGAGGCTCTCTGAATCCTCCAACACATGGTTTTCTGGTGGCCATTTTTTCTTGGGCACCATGTACAGTTCCAGGGGTGTGAGGCTTTGGTGGGAGGAGCAGGTGGCTCCTGGACTCTCCCGCCTTCACCTGGACTCTAGGTCTATGGAAACCTATGCTCAGGTTCTCTTCCTTCTTTCCTCATCCTCTGGGATAATGGAATCCACATACTTGAGAGGAAGACTGTCCACAATGGCATCCCCAGAGGGCCGGGTGTGTTGCAAGGGTCAGCAGATCTTAATAGGAAAGCTAACATCCCATCAGTCACCTGCAGTTGAATTGTCTAGCCTAGGCCCCTGTCCCCAGAAGACGGGGCACTCAGCAAATGGCTCTGAGAATCTGACTGAAATGTCTGAAGCAGAAGGTATTGGAAGCTTTCTAAGAAACTTCTCATTTTACCCTCACAACAGCCTCAGAGAAGTTTATACTATTGTCATCCCCAGCTTACAGGGGAGGAAACTGAGGCTCAAGACATGAAGGACCTTGCTCATGGTCAACAGTTTGTGGATTCTGAATCCACACCCGTCTTAATTTCAAGCCCAGGCCTCTTTCCTCTGCCACATATCCTTATAAAAACAAATGAGAGAACAAATTCGATAACTTAAATAACCCACATACTCCTTCCCTAACAAGTCTATAATCTCAGGCAAGTAATGTTTATTTATTGAGCTCTAACTTCCTCTTATTATTTTCTACAAAATCATTTCTGGGATTACTATCTCTTGGTCATCTCCAGTCATAGTAGTAGTAGTAGTAGTAGTAGGAAAAAACCTTATTTAATACTTTGTACCAGTGAGAAATATGCATATGTCAATCAATATATTCAATTATTACCCAAGTTGTTCTAAGAGTGGTATTTTTACCCCCATTCACAAATGGCATCATGGAAGCACACAGTGGTTAAACAACTTGCCCTAGGTCATACAGCTCCTAATCTGCAAAGC